TTGCTGTGAAGGTATTTCATGTTTTAAGTAGAATTATAAGTGTGTTTTTTCATCATTATAACTTTTTAAAGGATTTTAAAGTGTTCTTTATCAATGATTTGTTAGGTAGAATTGTGTGAAATACGATGCAGGATTTTTTCTTTTTTTCTTTTTCTTTCTTTCTTTCTTTTTTTTTGGGGGGGGCGGGATTTTCGTTCGAATTATATATTGTGGATGAAGAGAATCGGACGAAATGTTTTATATAAGTTGTGGGGTTTCTTGTGAATTATGTAAGACTATGCATTTGTGGAGTATGATGTAAATAAGTTGTAGGGCTTCCTGGAGTTGACTTTGGAACACGTCGAGAGCAAGACAAACAGAGTTTGTGTTCGTGTGGAGGGGTAGAGGGGGATGGGGGTGGAAAGGGGTAGGTAAACTCTGGGCGTGAATGTTGGAGGGGAGAGGGGGGGAGGGGAGGAGAGGAAGATAAGTTTGGGGGTGTGGTATTGGGGAAGAGGGATGGGGGAGGGTAAATTAGGAAGGGGGTATTGGAGGGAGAGGTGGGGGAAGGGAGGATGGGAAGATACAGTGGGCTTGGATATTGGGGAGGGGGGGAGGGTAGAGGGGAAAAAGTTGGGTTGGATATTGGAAGGAAAAAGGGGGGGAAGGGGTATGAAAATAGGGATGGATGTAGGGGGGAAAGGTGGGAGGGGATGGTATTAGAGTAGAAAGGATATGAAGGGAGGATAGGGAAGAGGGGGAAAAGAAAAGAAAGAGTTTGAAAGATTATCAAATGGGATAAGAAAGAGGGAAGGGTGGAAGGAAGGAGAGAGATCGGAGGAGAGAGAGAGAGAGAGAGTCCAAAATGAAGGTCGGCAGAATATTTGAGTGAAGGGAAGGTGGATGGGGTGTGTGTGCGGGGGGGGGGGGTGAAGATAGCCACTTATCCTTGGTAGAATTGTCGGCGTAGGGTAGGGGGAGGGGAGGGAGGAGGGAGGAGGAGGGAAGAAGAGAATTCCAAGGACCCTCCTCATTTCGATTTGTCAAGGATGCGTGCGGGTGTGCGCTTGTTCCTGCTTGTGCTCGTTTAGTTTCTTTCACTCTCTCTCTCTCTCTCTCTCTCTCTCTCTCTCTCTCTCTCTCTCTCTCTCTCTCTTCTCTGCTCTCTCTCTCTCTCTTTCTCTCTCTCTTTCCTTCTCCTACTTCTCCTATTCTCCTTTTCCTCGGGCAGGTGCCGAAAAATTGCAGAACATTTTTTTGCAAGTCTTTCGTGCTTGGCGGCGAATTTTCTCTTTGATTTTCTTTGTTTTGTTTTTTGTTGTTGTTTTTCTCGTGGACGAAAATATGTGCTGGGGGCGTGTATTTATGTATTTTGCTTGTGTGTATGTATTTGTTGATATATCTATGTATGATGTATCTAAGTACTGACTATACGTGCGTGCATAACTATAATATATATATATATATATACTATATATATATATAATATATATATATATATATTATATATATGGTGTATATATATATCTATGTATCTATCTTATTATATATATATATATATATATTATATATAATGTGTATTATATATTATATATATCTATATATAATATATATATATTATATATAATTAATATATATATATATTATATATTATATTATATATTTATATATAATATATTAATGTGTATATAATATAGTATATATATATATATATATATATATATATATATAATGATGTATATATATATATATATATATATATATATATATATATATATATATATATATGTATAATGTGTAATATATATAATATATATATATATAATGGTGTGTATATAATATATAGTATATAAATAATATATATATTATATATATAAATGTGTATATATATATACTATACCAAAATACCTATAACCAGCTATATATTACTATACTAAATATATATATAATATATACATAAATGTCGATCTATTATATTAGTATTATATAATATATATCTATATATACTACATATATATTAATGTACTATATATACTATATAATATAGTATATATTAATATATATAATTTATATTTATAATATATATATAATGGTGATATAATATATATATATATATAATATTATATATATCATAATAGTGAATATATATAATATATATCTAAATCTATTATTATATATATATATATATATGTGATGTGTGTGTGTGTGTGTCGTGGTAGGTGCTGTGTATATATATTGTGGTTTGTGTGGTTTGCATGTATGTGTTTTGTATATGTTTGATATATATGTAGATAGATGATATCTCATCAACTTCTATATCATATATATGGATATAATATATATTATCTATCTATCTATCTATCTATACATATCTATCTATATATATATATATTATATATATGTATATATACTATACATACATATATATTATATATGTATATATATGGTATATATATAAATATATATTATATAATAGATAAGATTAGATAGATTAGATATATATTATATATATTATATACATATACTTATATATACTATATATATATATGTATGTATGTATATATATGTATATATATAATATACATATATATTATATATATTAGTCATACATATACTATACAAATATTACATATATACTATACATACTTATATTTCTATACATATTATATACATATTATATATACATATACATATACATTATACATTATATATATACATATACATAATATATACCATATATATACATTATATATAATATAACATACATAACTATATAATTACTATTATATATATATGTATATATATTTATATATATACATTATATATAACATATATATGGTATATATATACTATACATATATTATACATATAATATACTATATATCTAATTATAACAACATATACATCTAAGTTTCATCATATAGCAATACATGTGTGTGTGCTATGTATGTATGTATTATGTTATTGGATCACTAAACCGGTCAGTATACGTCATATGCTCTGCCATGTGACATAAATATCATAAATCTCGTATCATATGGTAGAGGCGGGCTTAACCTGCCGCGCCCTCGCTGTGTGTGCGGGGGCTTATGTAGGTCAAGGGGAGAGAAGGGGAGAGGTGCGAGTGGCGGGAGGAGGGGGGGGCGAAAGGGGTAGAGGGGGGGGGTAGCTGATAAGGAAGAGTGGATGGTAACAAGTGTAGGGAAGTGGGATGTTGGGGATTTTTTTTTTTTTTTTTTTTTTTTTTTATGTTGTGTTGGTGTGTGTGTGTGTGTGTGTGAATGTGTAAATGGTTCGTTTTTTTCTTTTCTTTCTTTCTTTCTTCTATTGGGTTATTTATCTGTGTTGTGTTGTTTCTTTCTATTTTCGTTCTTGGGTTTCCCCCTTTTTCTTTTTTATTAATTTTTCCCTTCTTTTTTCTTATTCTTCTCTTCTCTCGTTACCGACTCTTTCCATCACTCTTCCTTTTGTTTCTTTATTATTTCTTCCTCTTTACTTATCATCCCCCTTCCCTCTTTATCTTTCTCTGTTTCCTTCCTCCTTTCCTTCCTTCTCTTTTTATGCCCTCTTCTCTCATTTCCGACTCTTTCAATCTCCCTTCTTATTATTATCCTTATTCTCTCTCCATTTTTTATCTTCCCTCTTCCCTCTTTCCTCTCCTTCTCCCTCTCTCTTCCCTTCCTTCCTATCTTCCTGTCTCCCCCTTCCCCCCTTCCAACGCACTCCTCATCCTTGACATTATCACTGGGGGGGAGGGGGTAAAAGGGGGGTTACGACCTGTACTCAAACTCATGCAACCCCTATCCCTACCCCCTCTCCCTCCCCCCCTCTCATTCTCCCTCCCTTCCCCTCACTCTCCCCTCCCCTACTTCCACTATCTCCCCAGCCCTCCCTCCCTCATTCTCCCCTTCCCTCCCTTCCCCTCATTCTCCCCTGCCCTCCCTCCCCTCATTCTTCCCTTCCCTCCCCTCTCCTCTTCTCCCCTTCCCTCCCCTCCCCTTCCCTCTTCCCTCCCCTCCCCTCCCCTCATTCTCCCCTCCCCTCCCCTCCCCTCACTCTCCCCGCTTTGCCCAACATGTACTAGTAACACCCAAGCACAATTAGCTAGGTGTCTCAGGTGGTCCGGGGAGGTGAGCCATCTGCAGGTGGTTCGCCTCAGATGGTTGTCCGGTGAGATGGTGGCACCCCCTCTGGCCCTCCTGACTGGCGGCGGCGGTGGCACTGTGGCAGTTGATTCGCCTTGACGAGAAGGTCGTGCGTTTAAATGCCAGAGAAGGTCGTGAGGTCGTTTGTTTGGTCAGTGGGCAGGAAGGGGTAGGGGGTAGTGGGAGGGGAAGGAGGGGGTACGGGGGAGTGGGTGTTCGTCTTCCTGAATGGGGGCTGCAAGGACTTTTCTCTTTTTTTCTATTTCTGTTCTGTTCTCTCCTCTCCTTCCTCTCTCTCTCCCTCTCTCTCTCTCTCTCTTCTCTCTCTCTCTCTCTCTCTCTCTCTCTCTCTCTCTCTCTCTCTCTCTCTCTCTCTCTCTCTCTCTCTCTCTCTCTCTCTCTCATAGAGGACTAGAGGACTTAATGTGATGGATAGTGAGGATTGTTCTCCTTTCCCTACTCCTGCTCGTCGTTGTCGTCGTCCTCCTCCCCCTCCCTCTTCCTCTTCCTCCTCACCATCCTTCCTCTTCCTCATCCCCCTCCTCTTCATCCTCTTCCCTCTTCCTTTCACTCCCTCCTCCTCTTTCTCCTCTTCCTTTTCCTCCTTCCTTCCCCCTCCTCCATTTCCTCCTCCTCCCTTTCCTCCTCCTCCCCGTCTTCCTCGCCTCCCCTTTATCCTCCTCCTCTCTTCCTTCCTTTTTATCACCCTCCCTTCACCAACGAATGGCATCCTTATTGCCCTAACTACATCTAAACGCGAA